TGGGGCTTGAGGAAATCTGATGTACATATGTACATATATGCGCTCATGCATATGAATCTTACCATTTTTTTTGCAGCTTTGTTGATCCGGTTGTAGAACGAAACCTTCACGGCATTTGCAAAAGTATGAGCCAACTGTGTTGATGCACGTCTGGTCGCAGGGTTTCTCTTCTTCGCACTCATTTACATCGTGCTCGCAGAACTGCCCTGTGAACCCCAGTGAGCAACTGCAGACATCAGGAGCTGTGCAGGTGCCGCCATTCTGGCAAGGATTTGTGCAAACCGCTATCCACATAAAATGGAAGAATCACAGTACTCCGCAATAAAATGTAAATAAATACTCATCAGTGCTTACGTTTTAGACAAGAGTCCGACTGTGGCAGTTCACGCTCCCAACCGTTGCAGCAATCGTATGTGACCTGTTGCGCTGATTTGTGGCGTATTACATCCCGAAAGGCCTGCTCGTGGACAAGCTGTACCCTCGTGCACATCTGGTTTGGGTTCTGTGTCTGCACCTGAACAGCGCTGCATGGCGTATTCACATGCTTCCAGATTGGTCTAGCGTACACTTCAGTTGTCTTCACGGGCATGGTGATGGTACGCTGTTGCACGCAGATATGGCGTCTGCAATGAAAATGATATATAAATATGTCCATATGTAAGTATGTTTATGTATATGTATGCATGCATGTATGTATAAAAATTAGTTGACAGGCAGGCCTATTTATTACTATTCAGACACTACTTGGAGCCTTTAATATTACAAATTGTAGCTGCTAAGGGCGTTCATTGTCCAAGTTGCTTTTATTAGAGGAAAAAACCTCGAAGATATGTGAGAAGTTAAACCTAGAAACGCACATGTCCACAAGGCTAACGCATAGTCCTTCCTCTTGTTCTATGTACAACTCTGAGAGTGGATGCCTGCGATGGGTCTTGCTGTAAATAGTACATTACCTTCCTTGATAGCCGTGTACAGAGGAGATAGGTCTCTTACCTTTTCAAAATAAATTTTATCTTAAATATGAATAAGCACAATGAGCTTTTAGCCTACATTCGGAACCTGAATTAACGGTTGAGTATATGTATGTATGTACATAAGCTCACTTCATTAAGACTAGGCAGACTGCAAAAAAAAACGAAAGCTTTCAAAGGTAAGAAGAAAGAAACTACGCTTACATAACAGTAAAATATCCTGCATCGTACATACCCCATGGGGCGAAATTCGCCAGTGTACCAGGTGAAAAAATTTATGTCACCGATTTCGTTGAAACTTTACTAAATTGTTGCCATTCATACAAGTAATCAATGTTATGAAGGATTTTTATTTATCTTTTTTCTTTTCTTTTGAAGTTATGAGAGTTCGAATTTTTACGTTTTTGCACTTTTTATTAAAATCACGAGTTTTCTTAAAATTCGTAACTTACGTCTAACTTACAATTGAGTATCCAAAATAAGTGACCTCATAGGATTTTTCCCGCGCTTTCCGATAATGACAACAATTTTTTGATAAGAATATTTTTTTTTGCACAAATTTTGCAAAAAAAAATTATTTTTGAATTTTTTAAACAATGTATGGTTTCGATTTTTTTTCAAAATAGCTCATTTCGATAGCTTATTTTCTAAGCTTTGCAACAATATATAAATTGGTATGGGATCGGCATGTGGAACAGAAGTTTGTCCTATCAGAATGCTTGCTAGCCTAACTATTGAGGTAGAACTGTTTGGTTGGAATTTCAGTTGTAATTTAAATTCTTTAAACGTTCAAAAATTTCAAAGACAATAGTTTGTGAGCTGTGGCTAGATGGCGCCAAAAGTCATCACCTGACGCTGCAGTGGGTTCCATTTAAACATATTTGTTGCATTGTTTGACTTTCGCAAAATATGCAGAGCAAAACGTAAATTACGTTAACAGTTAAACTTCAATATTAGAGGACACCAGCAAAGGAAGCATCAATTATGTGAAGTAGTGAATATAACAGAAAGAGTGAAATTTTCATCGCATTGCGCTAATCCTTATAACCTCAAATTTCAAATTTGTGTTCATTCATACTTTTCTCAGTATTTATGAATGTTTGTCAGACCAACTAACCTTCAATTAAATCTTAAAACTGTGTTTTATATTGCATTCTGTAAGGCCTAACATATCCCAATAGGCAACGGTCCGGTTTTCGTGCGATCCAGCAATATGCTACCACTTTCGCACATGTATTTTGATCAAAATCGTTTTTTCTTCTTTTATTATGCCTTTGCGTTCAATTTGACAATTATTCGCCTCGCTGTCAACTGATTTGCATTAAAGTTTAATACCTTAAGCGCTTCTGTAATAGTGGGTGCAGCGCTACTTTCTACTAAGTTTACAAGATATCGGACCGTAATATTTTTTGGCAGACTTCCTTTGTCCTTAGTAACACTTTAGGCTATATTTTTTCTCAGTCTTAACATTTTCATGTGTCGAACTCCCCAGTTTTTTGCCACTTTTTCTACGGTCCCGCCTTTTCGCAGTAAATCTATTATTTACATTTATGTTTCCTGATTAACCATATTATGTACTGGTAATCACTTCCAGAATAAATTACAATACAGAAAAAAGTTATCAGACTTCCAACTAAGTAAAAGATAACTGTAAGATGCAAAACTGAGAGATTTACATTTTTGTCTGTTATTATTGTTGTTGGATTGACTTCAAATCTTTATCAGAGAGGGAGTAGGGGTGTACCAATAAGAATATACAACAAAAGTATGAAAGTAGTTAGAACTTTCAAAAATAGCGGTGGCTGAAATAAAAAGTGTTACTTCATATTACAGTTTTGCTCGTCACTGTACATATATAGATACACTGCAGGGAAAGCTACTAGTTGTGAACTAAAATACTACCAGTTTGCTTTTCAGCCCAACTAGTTCACGTTCTATCCTCTTTCAATGTTAGCGACTGGTTTTTTAACATGGCGATGTCCTACGAGATGTCAATTGTCAGGCCATGCATCAGCATCTACTAGTAGAATCATAACAGTTGGATGAGATCGCTTGCCAGTTCATCCCCAGTGAAAAGCATAAGTATGCCATTTTGCTCGCGGAGGTCCATCAGCCGCAATGTCCGACAGAGCAGAGCACCGGTGTATATAATGGACATATACATATGTATGAGTGTGAATATGGATGACCACAAAATTAATTAAAATTTAAGTGTTATGAAGTGTTATGAATTATAATAACGCTTGGTAGGTAGGTACATACTCATACATACATACATACATATGTGAGCGAGCTCTTACGTAATAAAAGGCTCTTGGTTGAAATGGGTGTGAAAGTACATACGTAAAGCTGAGTGCCTTAGAGCTGTCGCATTCCATTGTAGATCAGTCAAAACCAGTTATGCAACCAAAACGGAATGGGTATAAATTTATGAATCCATCAATCAACAAAAATTCACCTCGAAAGGAGCAATTTGCGCGAAGACTGGATTTTTGAAAGTTGAACGAATACATAATACATACAACCCCTTGTAATGACTGGACTCAGATAATCAAAGAATAAGCTATTGTTCAAAACAACTTTATAAGTATAACACTGTTTAAAATAAAATGAGGAAAATGACGCGGGAGCTTGAGTAGGTAGGCCCTGTGTTCGAAGCAAGCTTTACTCGTCGAGTCTCAGTCAGAGTTGTATAGTACGGACCTAGTAGTCGAGTGGTTAACATTTTCTAGACGAAACGGTGTGACAGACGATAAATATCGATGCAGCCACCATTAAGTAGATATCGGGCTCAATGTCGGGTCAACGATGTTTTTCTTTTTTTTTAACTTTTTAAAGGGTAACCTACTTATTCGATATAAAATAGTAGCTTGGTTTTCTAATTCGAGTTTTCTTCTTAATTAAAAATATATATATATATATTTGGATAACTTCAATTTTTCTAACTATATCTCGACTGCTGAGTGGAAGATGGATCTATCTCGGCAGCCAGTTCGAAAAGCCCAATCTCAAAGAACTTTTCAAAAACGTTCTATTTCAGAATTTGGTTGAAGAACGCCCTATTTTAGAATTCGTTTCAAAAACTTCTTAAAAAAAAAAACTTGTCTTTGCAATAGTTATTGAAATAAACTTTTATCGTTACTAATTCTTTTTTAACCGGACACCCTGTATTTACATAAAAACACCTCTTCATTTAAATATGTAACGTGAAGACGCCTTACCACAAATTTGAGGACCAAACACTTCGCAAAATGGCGGAGTGTAATATATTTGTTTTCATGATTGTTTTCTGTTTCCAAACACTTATGTAAATAAAATTGCTCGGCAGAAAGAAATTTGGCTCGAACAATGACGCAAACGGAATCCTACTTTGAAAGATCCGAGAAATCTTATCAAGAAATTAGAAAACGTGTGGGAAAAGGAAATTAATAATAGTATGTAGTAAATAAAGAGTGATATTATAGCCAAAACAATTAGCAGAAAACGAAAAAAGGCGATCAATTAGAAAGAAAGGAGTGGCAGCGCTGGAAAGGGTCGGTCCCAAATGTTAAATTGCGCAGCCAGCTTTTGGCATGCCACGCCATCCGCAAACATTTGCGCTCATTCTCGATGTGAAGCGAACAATTCTGCAACAGTTGCGGAGGACATTTTTTTCAGCAGTTTAATACTACTTTCATTAGTGCATTATGTTGCCCGAAACAGCTGCAATGGCAATTGGAAGTGTTCTCGGGGGCTACAACCCGCAGCGCAATTATAAATAACTTGTGTGCGAACATGTACATATGCATGTACATATGTACATGTGTATGCACATTAGACTGCTTTCCCAAGCGTATGTTAGTTAAGCTTGATCATTTTATAAGACCCACCAAAATAATTCGGCTCAACTCAGCGCCATTCGTTAGCTGAACTGCGTTGAAAATATGCATACATAAATAAATATCGAACTCTTATTGCAATTGAACATTTTTATATTGCCAAACTTTTTCTCCAAAAAATTATCTGAAAATATATAAAATTAAAAGGTGTGCATTTAAAAAAAAAAATGTCATACAATTTCGCAATGTAAGTTTTATGAAAATGTAAATGACTCAGGCATGAACACATAGGGCTGGTTTCTCCAACTCAACTTAACTTAGTTAAGTCAATTTTCTTGACTTAGTCAAGAATAAGCTGTGTAAAACGTAGGCTAACTTTTGACTTAAGTCCAAAAAGTGGCTAAACTAAGTTAAGTTGAGTTGGAGAAACCAGCCAATAGTTCTCCCTCTTATAAAATAACGAAAAATCAAACCTAAAACTTTAAGATAAATTTATTCAGTAAAAAACTTGGAATGTATGCAAATGAGTTAACTTTTAGAAAGGGTCTATGAAAGAATGTTACTCATACGCCATGTATGAACTATTAATGAAATCATAAATAAGTAATGATTACGCATTTTCATTTGACATTTTGATTTGCAACTTTATTTATCAATCAATTTTCTTCGTTGATAGCTTGATAGGCTTTAACATAAATAGCAAAAGAATTTACAAAAAATCTTTTGTTATTAAATTTTTTTCCTGTTCCCAAAAATTCATTTTGTTTCATTTTATTTGAATTCGAATTAAGAAAACCCTATTTTTCCATCTTATTTTATTATAACCTTATTTTA